GACATACCTTTTCTGGTATAATTAAGTCACAAGTTTTACGATTTCATCGAATTTGTACAAGATCTTCTGATTTCAACCAAGCCTGTACGATTGTTTTCTCAAAACTGAAAGAGCGTGGGTACTCTAAACGATTTTTACGAAACATAAAATATTCCACCTTAGCACAGATAGCAGCTAAAAACAGACTTTATGCCGAAGTACCTCCAGGTTTAAGAAGTGCTCCATGTTTGTCCAGTAGGTGCAAAACATGTCGCTTTATATCAGAAACTCATTATTTTGTAAGCAACTCTACGAATAAAAGGTACCCGATCCAGGAACATTTAACATGTGAACATTCGAATGTAATATTTAATTTCATGCAAGAAATGCACCAAACAATATGTAGGAGAAACTAAGAATAATTTACGAACTCGCTTTAATGCTCATAGGTCAGACATCAAATTAAAGAAAAACAAGCCTGTTTCTAATCATTTCAACCTCGACAACCATTCAATAGACGATCTCGCCCTAATCCCAATTGAGCGAATAGAAATTGACTTGTCCGAAGATGAAACTACCAAATTCCGTCAATCTGGGGAAGCCCATTGGATTGAGACATTGAATACAGCAAGACCTATAGGACTAAATATCCATCATAATGTAGGCATAGCACCCTTTGTTGTCCCGTTTAATACAACCAGCAATCGAGCAAGCAAGATAGTTCATGCCCACTATAAGAGCCTTCAAGAGAAATTCCCCCATGTCTATAAGCAGAAATGTTCATCTTCAACCTGATTAAGATCACAGTGTTGACATATTATATTATTTGCAGAGTTCTCTGCGAAATCCATCTGAATAATAACATGACCGACGGGCAAGTTTGCTTTCAAATCTCTTAGGGCTTTGAATTGTTGTTTTACTCTATCAGTGTGCCTTACAAAATCTGCATACTGTACCATCATGATTTCTTGAAACTCACTCTTAGTCTTCGAAATCTTCAACACTCTCAATCGTTTCCTATCACCTTCTTCAACCTTCTGCCATTCTTCATACTCTACTGCATCTTTCTGTATCCCAGCCTTAGATCTTCTTCGCTTATATTCTTAACAACGCTCTCTAGATTGGGTGAGATTTTAATTCCAGATTCTCTGATGTCGACTACAACGGCATATATTTCGTGAAATAACAGACGTGATGTGAATATAATTTGATAATCACTCAATATTCTCTTCTGAACTTTCTCTTTCCCAGATTTAGTCACATCATCTTTACCTGGCATCACTCTACTGACATCACCCCTTTCTAAATATTCAATAACTCTTGCTTTTACGCCACACTTCAACTTTTCCATTCGTTTCCTGGGAACCAATAGTAAAATTTCATCTGTAGCTTTTCTTTGAACTTTACCACTTATTTTCGTTTCTCTGGCTCATGGACATATATCTGTACTTTTTTACAATTTTTCCACACACTATCTTTGATAACACATTTTTGGACTTTTCACTTCTATTTAACCTCTTGGTTTTTTTTTAACTTCACCAATAAGGGCGTTTAACACACGAAAAGCCTAATCTCACACGAGTGGAACGTGAAGCGTTCAACTTACTTAAGAAAGACGATAGCATTGTTATTAAAATGAGTGACAAAGGTTCATGTTGTGTCATTCTGAATAGGGAGGATTACGTTTCAGAAGCAGAGAATCGACTGAATAATCCTAAACAAACTGCCAATTTACTGAAACCAATTTTCAAAGCTAATATGTGATTAACAATATTCTTGCCGATTCAAAACTATCTCAAACAGAAACAATATGACTACTTGCTTGCCAAACCTGATTGTCGTGAGAGACATCTGTACACTTTGCCTAAGATCCACAAGATTCCAACCAAGGAGTGGCTTATCTCGAATAAAATCCCTAAAGGCCGCCCGATTATATCTGACTGTGGTAGTGAGTCATATGCAGTGTCAGAATACATTGATCATTTCTTACTACCTCTAGCATGTCAACATCGCGCCTACCTTAAAGACACAACCGATTTTGTCAATAAAATAAAAAATCTTTGAGTTCCCTCTAATGCTATTTTAATTTCTATGGACGTTTCTTCTATGTATACCACTATCGATAACACTGCTGGTTTAACGGCAATTCGTAAAGTTTTTAATAGACGATGTAATTCTACAGCTTTTAGAGATTTGTCTCAGTCGGAACGATTTCACATTTAATGGTAAAACATATTTACAAACTTCAGGGACAGCTATGAGCAAACGATTCGCCCCTTTTCATGACAAAGTGGGAACGTGAGGTGTTGCCCCTCTGTCCATTTGACCCACTTTTTTACGGACGCTTTTTGGATGACATTTTTATGGTTTGGACTTATTCTATCGAACAGTTTTGGGAATTCTTTGAAATTCTCAACAACCACCATCCTTCTATCAAACTAACCGCAAACAAAATCATAGACTTTCTCGATACCACTGTCTGTAAGGGAGATTCCATAGCAGAAACAAATAAACTGGATATTAAAGTGTATTTCAAAGAAACTGATACTAGTCAACTCTTGCACCCAAAACATACCTTTTCTGGTATAATTAAGTCACAAGTTTTACGATTTCACCGAATTTGCACAAGATCTTCTGATTTCAACTAAGCCTGTACGATTGTTTTCTCAAAACTGAAAGAGCGTGGGTACTCTAAACGATTTTTACGAAACATAAAAAATTCCACTTTAGATAGATAGCAGCTAAAAAACAGGCTTTATGCCGAAGTACCTCCAGGTTTAAGAAGTGCTCCATGTTTGTCCAGTAGATGCAAAACATGTCCCTTTATATCAGAAACACATTATTTTGTAAGCAACTCTACGAATAAAAGGTACCCGATCCAGGAACATCGAACATGTGAACATTCGAATGTAATATATTTCATTTCATGTAAGAAATGCTCCAAACAATATGTAGGAGAAACTAAGAATAATTTACGAACTCGCTTTAATGCTCACAGGTCGGATATCAAATTAAAGAAAGACAAGCCTGTTTCTAATCATTTCAACCTCGACGACCATTCAATAGACGATCTCTCCCTAATCCCAATTGAGCGCATAGAAATTGACTTGCCCGAAGATGAAACTATCAAATTCCGTCAATCTAGGGAAGCCCATTGGATTGAGACATTGATACAGCAAGACCTATAGGACTAAATATTCACCATAATGTAGCATAGAACCCTTTGTTGTAATACAACCAGCAATCGAGCAAGAAAAATGATTAATGCTTACAGAAATCCCCCCATGTCTATAAGCAGAAAATGATAGTTGCATATTTAAAAAAATACGAACTTAAATGATAATATTCTTCATAATAAACTAAAACAATCAGTGCATAATCAGTTTTCTAATTTCAGATCAGAATAAGAACAGAAGAAAACCCAATATCAAGACCCTTAATCCTAATTTCTAAATAGAGTAGGCCTGCGTATTTGAAAGACCCGTTATTGTACTTACCACAGTGTTTATACTTTGATTTCTTTTTCTGAAATTTATTGACTTTTTTGTATTCTCATTTGCGTTTTAGGTGCATTAACTTTAAATTATTATCATTTTGTTTCTGATTGTATCGATATAGTGCTTTCAATAAATCCCTCTTTAGGCGATGCAGGCTTTCTCGAAACACCTGTTTTTCTTATTATTTTTTTTACATGAATTGGAAACCTCAAATAATATATCGGAAAGAAAACTTGTCGCTGTCTCGATATCGTCTTTAGAGCGATGGGCAAACTAGGTAGCTGCCTTTCGGCCCATGACAAATTTTGTAACAGTAATAATTATCAAACAGTTAATAAATTTCCGCAAGCCCATCGAAAATTGTCTACTAGGAGCGTGATGTGTGAGAATCGACTAAATTGTTTGAGCCTAATGGTGATGAATGCCGATTGAAGCTGATTGTTCTGTTCTTGAAAAAAAAGATCGCAAACTTCCTGCTATAAAATTGTAATCACACCATGCCCCCTCTCTAAAAATGAGAAATTAGGCCCTCTACCATTCGTTTGACTACGGCCCAACAAGTCCAAAATCCGCCACTGGTTGGAATAAGTAGATTTTGAGAAAGTGTTAAGGTTTTTACGGATATGTTGATGTTGTAAGTCGTCCGAAAATAAAAGGGCACAGTTAGAATTCCAGATAAATTTCATTAAGCCAACATTCTGTTTGTTAATGGGGTAATTGACAGGAATAGGGTTTGATATGGTACAGGGTAACAGACAGTGGTCGATGTTGATAGTTTTAGACAATGAATAATTTGGAAATGTGTGAGATTGATCAAGGCATAGTGAACTGTACTCAACCATGAGCGTTTATTCTGGTCTTATCCCTCTCTTCAGTCTCTAATGGATATTTTGACAGTTGTCAGCTGGAGTAGACACCAGTTGACATCTGTCCAAATAGCTATCAGAGGCTGGAATAGAGACAGATGTTAATATTGAATATATTCCAGTGAACAAGGTCACGTGACGAACAAGCGGATTCCATGTCAGCAGAAAAATTATATGGAACATAATATAGGCCATATTTTGTTTCAATGAATTTGTAGCAATAAGTTACTAATTTTTTTAAATCATTGGTCTTTGAAGGAATGAACTAAAAAATGATTATTATACCACTGGGTATCCATACAACGTGTTTTCTCGACTAATTTATAACTCAAACATTGCACACGAAAATAGGTGACGCATTTTGCAGCCTTTGTCGAGTTGGTTACTCATGAAACATGGGTCAAGGTGAGCGATTCAGTAAGAAAATCGAAAGATTTTTATACACATGAAATGGGAGGCGTATATTGCCGTCACCCATGTCCGTCCGGCCGCCCGTCCACAATTGCTCGTAAACACTCTACACACAATTCTTGACTGATTTCGACGAAACTTTGTATAGAACCCTAGTAATAATAAGAAAAATCGAAAAATATTTAGTATGAGTTATTGCCCTTGTTCTTGAAACCCTCGTAAACATTCTAAAAGGCACAATTCTTGATGGATTTTGACGGAACTTGGTGTGTGTGTTTGTTATCACCTAAGATTGAACCCTATCAAAAATCAGAAAAATCGAAAAATAATTAGTATGAGTTATTGCCCTTGTTCTTGAAATGCGTTCAATTTTTAGCACGTAAACACTCTAGAAGACACAATTCTTGATGGATTTTGACGAATCTTTGAGTGTTTGTTATCACCCAAGGATAAACCCTATCGAAAATAAAAAAAAATTAGAAAATATTTAGTATGAGTTATTTCCCTTGTTCTTAAAAACGGGTCCAAGTTTTAGCCTGTAAACACTCAAGAAGGCCCAAATTCTTGTCAGATTTTGATGAAACTTGGTAATATTATTCAGTATCAAAAAGTTCAAAAGAAGTTTATGACTGAAGGTTAAATATTTCATACTGTAATGCCAAATATTTTTATTAGAAAAAGGTGCCAGTGGGTGTATATTACCTTGATCTTTGAATGGCATTTAGTAAAGGTGTTGGATATAATGAAAAAATTCTTATGGATTACAATTACTAACTTTATTTGAGCGAGGTTTCGACCAGAGTTCTATAGAATATCTGAAGAAACATCTAAGATTTATTTGACGAATTTTGATTCTGTATTGAATCCTTATATGCACGAATATAGATTACACCACTGTACTTATCATAGAGTTATAAATAGAAACATAATATAACTCTATGGTATTACTCCCTTTATAATTATATAGCCTACATGATCTACATGAACTTTGACTGAATTTGTATTGTCTGCTACCTTGATATGGACCTCGGGTGGGAGAGGTAAACATTACTTTCAGTTTGTTTAGTCAACGACTTCAAGGAATACAGAATTCAAGGGGAATCAGAAAATATTAGTTATATAAAGAAACATATAACTCTATGGTTATACTCCCTCTATATAGCCCATACGAACGTCTGCTTACTTGATCTTCAAACTTTGACTAAATTCTTATTGTCTGCTACCTTGATATCGACCTCGAGTGGGCGAGGTAAACACTACTTTCAGTTTGTTTAGTTTACGACTTCAAGGAATACAGAATTCAAGGGGAATCAGAAATTCTATTGATCTTTCTTCGAATAAAAGACACTTGGCAACCAGTATTATATCATTTGCTCGAAGTACAGTCTTGCAAGATGGAAGAGTTATTCAGGTAAAATTATTTTAATTGTTTTTGGTGATCTTTTTTTGAAATTTTTGTCTAATTTCATAAATATTCAAAACAAAATTTTCAACTTTATGCCATTTGTCTTAGAATGTCTTTGGGTCCATAGAAAGGTTCATTGATTTTACATTTGAAATAGACTCACTTCCCGTCTAAAGATATTCAAGTGATAAATCCCCTCAGTAAAATTATGTTTACAAATAATAACTTTTCCAGTGGTTGACATTTTCAGCAATCCAAAGACAATCTAAGACTCTGAGTAGTATTTTGTAAATGATATTTCAATTCATGTTTAAATTATTGCCAAAATTCAATTAAGAGAATATTTTAACATTCAAACTCAGATAAATCTGAACACACATCGATTTGAAGGATCAAATTTCCACGGTGAACTGTGAACACTATTACTGATTAGCTCAGCTAAAAAAATTCCATTTTCTGACACTAAAGTATGATTGGAAAACGGCCTACATGTCCCTTTAAACTATATATATCTATAGATATCCATGATGTTTTAGGCCCTAATCAGAAAGGAAACAGATGGCAGCTGGAATGGTCTAGTATGCTATGTTAGGCCTAATATCTACATTAGATCTGCCTCTATTCCAGCCTCCGATAGCTATGTTTTCAAATTTTTTATCATTTTGCTTGTGGCTCCCTGGTAAATTTTATGTCCCCTGCTTGACCCCGTTACCTAATGTTTCCTAGACCGCCGCTGTAGAAAATCCTGATAAAACAAGGCCTACTTTTTCAATGAGCCATGGTTATAAAAACCTAGGGTAGGGCTGGGTGGTATTGGTTCAAGTTGATATCATGATATTAAGCATTAGTATATCACCATATGGGTATCACAATTTTGTGATATTTCTTAGGTATAGTTTTTGCTGGTTTTTGATGCAAACTGTTGTTGTTTTTCTATCTACTAATTTTAGATGAAAGAGAAAAGCAATAAATATCTCCAAAAACATGCCAGGCTTGAATATTATAAAAAACACATCTGTTTCAAATATTAAGTTACATGTTCAAATTGAGTAGATAATCTTATCTGGACAAAAATTTGAAAAAGATATAGTATACATCAGGCGATATTTCAGTATTTATTAATCAGGCATATAACTAATGATATAAACTCCTTTACCAGTATTTATCATGATAAACCCTATAATATATTAATGTGGTCCGTTTTTAATTAACCCTTTTAAAACAAATTTAGTTTCATGATCAAGTCAATACACAGATAGATATAAATAGAATTTTAGAAATGTTTTCAACACTTTTTTAATCTAACTGAAGAATCAGTAAATATTGTTTTTTTTTTTAAATTTGGATAACACAGTGATCATAGAAACCAATGCAAGGCACAGGTTTGCATCAAATTTACAAAATATTCATTTCACCCTTCTGATTATAAAATCGCTTCATATATATGTATAAGGGGATGCCAATTTGGAATACTCAGAGTGACATCAGGTGTTCCAGAAGAGTGGTAAACCAAACAATAAACTTATCTCACAAAACTTGATTTCAAATTATAATCACTATTTGAACAGGTTGTTTGGCCTTGAAATTATAATATTAATTACTGAAGTAAATAAACCATGTTATTTTGGAGGACCGGTTCTCCAAGATCTTCAAAATGAAGGTAATAAAGTCAGGTTGACCTGACACATAGAATTTTCGAGCAATTCTTGTATTGACTCAGTACAAACAAGTTATAAAATTTCCAAATATTATACAATCTCCGGGAATGTCAAATGTGCATTTTATATTGAATGGTAAATAATAAGCTATTTGTTATTCATAGTATGTCTAAAACTTATACAATGCAAAATATTTTTTGTCAGAGGTAGTGTTTTTTGTTGGGAGAAGGCATATGTTTCTTGTTTTTACTTAAGACAAGTCTTGAAGTTTAATGATTAAAATGTTAGATGTACCATATTATTTCAAATCTTATTATCAGCCTGAAAGATATTAGTAAATAACATACAGTTGAAATATTTTGTATTAAAGGGATTGTAAAGTAGTTTTCAACATTTTTCATGTGTACTGAGGACACTGATAGCATCAAACACTTAGTTTTAGTGGAATTGCCTGATTGAAATTTGAAATAGTGCAAATCAATGCCATCAGTTCTCCGATGCACATTCAAAATTTAGAAAAACCTATTTACAATCTCTTTAAGATGGTGATAGGAATTTGGTCTACATGGTATTAATCATGTGATATAAGAAAGTAGTTCAAGTGTCAAATGATAAATCATGATTTAAAGTAGCAATCATTTTAATTTCATAGTTTAACTTGTTTTGACCTGTTCATATAAGTTATGTTTTATTGCCACCATCTGTTTCATGAATGAAACTAAATGGATGGAGCTTATGTTTTACTCTTCTCGACTGATTTCCAACTGTGGAAGAATAAAACACCACAGACTGTAGCATAAGGTTCAATTAAAGATGGGTACCCTTATTTTCATTTATAAAAGTGAAAATGCTAATACTTACATGAATAGAAAGTAGAGATGTTCTAATGACTTGGAAAAATGCCAGTTGGTCTCACATGTCCATAATTAATTCATAATACGCTAAATTAGAAGAGAATTATCAGCAGAATTCCAATGAGTGACCGATCACGAAAGGTCAAAAAATCTTTTTTATCCAGACTGTACATACATGAGCATGTATGATTGGTCAAAACTCTTAATTATATGCAATAAGAACATAAAGATATGATTAAGAACACATGAGAATTCATTAAAAACATCAATTTGTCAAATAGTTTGCTTAATTTGACTCTAAAAAAATAAGGAAACCTGTCTTTAATGCTGTATTGCAAAGCAGTTTGTGAGTCAAAATGACTCCTTTTGCAATCAAATATTTCCTATTATTAGCCAATTAAAATTTATTATGACTATTGGCAAATACCAATTAAATCAAAATGCATAGTTTTTGTGAATTGCCATGCTAAAGCTAGAAATAACTCTTGATAGTAAATTTAATCTAAAAAAAAATCATTTGGAAGTCAAATCTGAAGTCAACACTGGAACATTTTGAATTGTTACTAATTTTTAATTTTCATGAATTGCAAATCAAAATTTAACTTGATTAACCAAAACTAAAATTTGTTGCGAATTTTTCAACCTTAATTGGGCCCTGCACATGTTACCATGGTTTATTGTCCCATCCAACAACTGGCCGCTTTTTTTATATCAGCACCTCACACCTGCATCACTGTGTAAGGGGAAAAGGGTTAAAAATCTGATGGTACCATTAACCTCTACCAGTTGAACCTTGGACCTTCAAATTAGCAAACACGCATCAAACTGACAGAGCCATAGCAGCATCTACTAGTGCTGGGTATCGTCAATCATGCCACGATACAATACGTATCGCTAAACAAGAGTCAGGATACCATACATATCGCATTATTTTGATTCTCTACCTCGAGTTAATAAGTCAAATTTTTAAAAAGACTGGAATATTTCAACAAAACCTTCAATTTCACAGTTGAAATATTGTAGCCTTTTTTAGGAAGTTGAAGAAGAGATTGAGAAGTTGTGTGTCATTTCCATGTTCAAACCATACATAGTTTCGTATGCCATTACTAAGTGATAAGCAACTAGTCACTATTCAACAGAAGGCACTTGCACAGGGTTATTAAAAGAAAAGAAACCAGTTGCTATTTTGTTGTTAGAAATCAGTTATCAAGTTAAAATTGGTTTATTTCATCAAGTATAATTTATTATGTTCTTTTCAGGCATATAGATAAAAATGAAAAGAAGTATATTGTTCGACTTGCTGAAAGTGTTTCCATACCTAGTGTATCAGGATGGCCAGAAAATAGAGGTGAAGTCAGGAATATGATTAATTGGACAGTTAAGGTGAAATTTTGTTTTCATATCTTGACCAATTGTGGAATGAAATATGGAAGGTTTTTATTTTGCTTGGTGAATTATTTTTGCCCTCAAAAAAGAAGTGAAAAGATCCTTGAATATTTGTTTTATAGGTGAACCTTGCAATGGTCAGAGTAAATTGCTATGCACCATGAGTTCCAAGTCACTTGATATATTCAACCAATCAAAAGCATTGTAAGGAAAAGTAATGATCAATGAATTTTGGGATGTTTCCTGCATTAGGTTGAATTTTAATTCACATTACAACCCATTTTTATACGCCCACATCGAAATGTGGACGTACAGTTTTTATCTGATCTTGATGAAACTTGGTTTGCATGTATATATTGAAAAGACCTCGGTCAAGTTCGAAATTGGTAATAATCAGATGAACGGTTTCAGAGTTATTGCCCTTGACTTAGTAAAAAAAGTGTTAAATTTGTCTTGTATGCACAATAGAGGCTGCAAATTTTATCTGATCTTAATAAAACTTAGTATGCATGTATATATTGATAAGATTTCAGTAAAGTTCAAAATTGGTAATATCAGATAATCGGTCTCAGAGTTATTGCCCTTGACATAGTAAAGTTGCATTAAAATTGCCTTGTATGCCCAATGAACACTACAATTTTGCTACCATCTTGATGAAACTTGGTATGCATGTTTATATTGATGAGATATCAGTCATGTTTGAATTTTGTCATAATTAGATGAACGATTTCAGGGTTATTGCCCTTGATTTAGTAAAATTTGGCTTTTAGGCAGGCTATAGACTACAGTTTTTATCCGATATTGATGAAACTTAGTATGCATGTTTATATTGATGAGATATCAGTCAAGTTTGAATTTTGTCATATTCAGATGAATGGTTTTGGAGTTATTGCCCTTGATTTTGTAAAAACCCTAAAAATTTGGCTTGTAGTCATAATACAGGGTGCAGTTTTTATCTGATCTCAATGAAACTTGGTATGCAAGTAAATATGGACAAGATATCGAGTCAAGTTGAAATTGGTAACAAATGGGTAGGCGGTTTGGAGTTATTGCCCTTGAATTAATTCAATGCGTCTAATTTGGCTCGTAGGCCTGATAGAGACTACATTTTTTATACGATCTTCATGAAAGTTGGTATGAGATCTCTGTAAAGCTTGAAATTAGTAAAAATAGGATGATTAGTTTCACATATTAAACCACTACAGACTCTGTTATAATTTCTGACAGCTGTTAGTGGGCATATGTTACCTTGCCTGGCAAGCTATCTTTCATATTTTTTTACATCTGTTTACATCACAAACACGAAAAAAAATCTTAATTTCCCTCAAATTTACCTAATATTTCATAGTTACATAGTTAGGTGAATTAGTGAAGTCACAAGCTGCAATTACATCTATCCATAAGCACATCCCAAACTCAAAAAATGTTCACATGTGTCCGTGAGATGATTCTGCAAAACAGTCAACGTAAAAGGGAAACTGTGTGGTATTTGGTCAGGAAACAGCGCAAGCCTCCTGGGACAGGGGGTACATATAGGGAGTATATTGACCCACTAGGGGACAAATGTCCAGGCTGAATTCAAAATGAAACAACTCTGTGAAAGCATCACAAACTTCTTGTGGAGCGTCTGAGAGGGTTATCCCAACAAAATTTTCAGAAAATTGAATTGATTTGGTGTGTTTTGACACATATCTTTGGACAAAAACATATAAAAATCACATCTGTTGAAAATAAAGATGGCTGTACCCCTACTGGGCAATCTTTGCCTACTGTAATGATGATATTAAGGAGATTCCGCCACTTTGACACATTGCTTGCTGTTGATTTTGAGTTTGCAGACACAATTTGGATAGGATGTGCTCTTTTCCATTTGATTTTGTGTTAGGGTATGCTTAGGTACTTAAATCCAACAGTTTATTGTTCAAAAGATAACTTGTAGATACATTTTGTATTTCACAGAGGTTGGAGGCTATAGGAGCAAGTTGTCAATTAAAAGAATTAGGAAATCAGAAGTTACCTGATGGAAATGAAATCCCTTTACCACCTGTTATATTTGCTCAACTTGGTGAAGATCCCAAGAAAAAAACACTTTTAGTGTATGGACATTTAGATGTTCAACCTGCTGCTAAGGTCTGTACATTGTCAGATTATTTGTTGCTTGCCTTGCTCATACGCTTTCTTGCCATCTGTCCCGATCTTGAGCTTGTGCAAATATTTGTTCAACCAGCTTTCCTGATACATTGTGGGATAGCAAAACCCAAAATAGAGTGACTGCAGATGCTCGCTGTAAAAAGTGATTCTGATTGGCAGAGAGTGGGACGTGATTGTTTGCTATAAATACTTTGTAGCGTCACCACTATGCAACCTTGTTAGATTACAATTGGGACCGAAAAAATAATGAAATGATATTGTAATAATAATAATGATTTAATACATAATACATGAACTAACCTCTATGAGAATGTCACTTGAGAAATCTGCTATTTTAGGAAGATGGGTGGGATACTGAACCATTTGTATTAACTGAGAAAGATGGTAAATTATATGGTCGTGGTTCAACTGATGATAAAGTAAGTTATTGATAATATGAAAAAAAATTCAGAAAAATCTGTTATTATAGGAGCAGTATGCAAAATTTGCATTATCAAAAAAATCTTTAACTATACCCGAAAAGATTTCTTAAACATACTATTTACATCTATGTATCTACTTGGTCTCCAAAATTGATCTTAAAAAGATTGTAAAATTGTACTAATTGTCAAGTAAGCAGCTTGATGTTGGGCCTCAGAAGAACTCGATATTTTCATTGGAAACATTTAGAATACATAAGAGACATTTTTCTCTACAATTTGGCATTTATTTTTGTTAAATCCGTACAGTCTTTTCTAACACCTTCCAAAAAAATATAACAAACTTTGTGTAAGCTTTTTAAAAAGTTTTTAAAAACTTAACGGCAGGATATATTTAGTTAAAACTTTCAGGAAAGTTAAAAAACATATTTCTCCAGATTTTGGTAATAGAGGATGAAAGGTTTTGGTGTATTGTTTTTATAAATTTGAGCAAAAAAGTTTTGACCCACAAAAAAAGCGGAATGTTCCTTTAAATTGAATGGTTGACAGTAATATTACTTTTGGCTACATTGTGAGAGACAAACACTGAATGATTTTTTTTTTTGTACAAAATTTTTGTAACTATTGGTAGATGTAGTTTGTAATTGTATAATAAAAAAATTAGAATGCCCATTTAATTGTGACTGATTAGACAACCTTTAATTAGAATCAATGGTAACAGGTTTCCGCTCTCACTCATTTATTGTATAGCACATACTTCATTTGGATTATGAAGTTTTATGTATATTTCATTATATATATTCATATTTATATTATATATCAATATATAACTCACTCTTATTCTCTGAACATAAAATACTAATTTGATTGGCCCTCAACAAAATTTTCTGGTCTTGATAAATCCCCTTTAATCTTTTTGTGGTATAAATACATAAGGGAGATGCTGCACTGTAGAATAATTAGTTTAAATCACAGTTATTGCATGTTTTGCTTTATAATTGTATAGAGAGATGGGTGTGACTTGGAGTTGTCTCCATCCGCCACATACCACCAAAAAAAAAAAAAAATTTGCAATGATATCACCATTGTAAAAAACATGAATATTATCTTTCGCACTGTACTATTTGGATCGCCAACAAAAACTGTCTGTGTCCAATGCTTCAGATGAACTTTATGACATTAACTGTGTTATTCCTACTTATAGAGACAGCAGTGACTATTTAGGTGGTAGTTTTTTTGGCCATGCCCTCAGATGTCAAACTAGAACATATCTTTACTATATACAACAGTGAAGAAATATGTCTTAGTGACCAAAAATTTATTCTTCTTATTGTGGATTAATTTGGTTCATGCTGGCCGTTATATATCATGTCTGACAAAATATCTGTTAAAAATTGTAGGGTCCAGTTTTAGATTGGATCAACTGTATTGAGGCAATGCAAGAAATTGGAATGGAAGTACCTATAAATGTCAAGGTAAGAAGAAAGACAGGCTTACTCTTTAAGTTTTATTTGTAAGAGTGCAACCTTAAAGGTATTGTAAAAAGGTTTTCAAACATTAATGATTAATAGGGAGACTGATAGCATACATTTGAATTATTACAATGTTTACAACATATTTTTCAAGAACCACAGATATTTGACTGTAAATTTGAAAAGTGCAAATCTACTATAATTGTCCCCAATATGCCAAAAAGGTTGCAATCTCTTTCAGTACGTTTGAATTGCAGGGTTTTGGTTTCTTTCCCTTTACCAAATACAACAAACATTGTAGAATGAACAATTATTTCCTGATTTAAATGAAACTTGGATCAAGAAGGAAGCTTATCAAAAATGAAAAAAATTTGAAACAAAGATGTCGCCTACTGTCCTTGTTTTTTGAAAAAGCATTGATTTCCTGCTTGTTAAGAGAGCAAAATTTGAACAAACTTATTAATATATGTATTTTCATTTCATTCAACAGTTTGTATTAGAAGGTATGGAAGAATCTGGTTCTGAAGGTCTAGATGAATTGGTAATCTCAGAGAAAAAAGGATTCTTGAAGGTATTATTATTGCTTAAAAGGGGAAGGACAAAGGCACCATTTTGGGGCATTGATTTGAGTATTGAATACAAGTAAATAGTCTTAATAATTCCTTAGAAAATATCCCAGACTAGGAATTTTTTTTCCGATTTCTATACATGGATTTTCTATATGGAAGTCGCGGTAATTCTGGACCTACATGGATTTGAAGACTCAAATTTCAACATTGAGCTGTGAACACTATTACTGATTGGCTTAGCTAAAAAATACCTGTTTCTGAGATTAAGGTACGATTGGTCAAAAAATGCTATTTGCTGTTTACCTATGTTATGTGAAAATTGAATAACTATTATCGGCACCCTTGAAAAACATTTAATGTTGAAATACTTGAAACAGGTGGGCTTTATATGCTGTGAATTGTTTTTTGATATTAAAATTAAAATTTCTTAAGAAGGTTTTGATAGAGCAAAGCGCATGTTTCTATAAAAATTTCAATAAATATTTGGGTAACCTGAGACAGGCTGAAAATAGGTCATTTGGTCTGGAGATCACATATTGTGAAACTCTGAGTAACAACATGTTTCAAGTTCTGTTTTAATATTTCTAAATACTGTTGTATATATTTTAGATAAATATAGTTATATATCTACTTGACAAAAATTGCACAGCAAAAAAATACTACTTTAAAACTCAATCCTAGTTAATGTTAAAGATGGGTTCCCTTATTTTCATTTATGAAAATGAAAATGCTAATACTTATATGAATAGAAAGTAGAGGTGTTCTAATGACTTGGAAAAATACCAGTTTGTCTCACATGTCCATAATTTTATTCATATTTAGCTAAATTTGAAGAGAATTACCAGCAAAATTCCAATGAGTGACCGATCAAGAAAGGTCAAAAAGTGTTTTTTGTTTATCCAGACTGTACATACATGGATATTTATGATTGGTTAAAATTCCTAATTATATGCAATAAAAACATAATGATATGATTAAGAATACATGATTATTCCTTAGAAACACCAATTAATCAAATAGTTTGCTTAATTTGACATTGAAAAATAAGGAAACCCATCTTTAAGAGTTTTATTTTATATTTGTAGGGAACAGATTTTGTATGTATCTCTGATAATTATTGGTTAGGAAAAACTAAACCCTGTATTACATATGGCCTGAGGTGAGAGTGATTAATTTTCATTTAATTAAACATCACGGTGACAAAGTTACGATTTTGAAATATATCAACTGCTTTCGGCTTTCACCCCACAATACCTATGGCTGCAATAAGTTTGCCTATGAATTGGGAGAGATTGATAGAGAACATTTTATTGATTAGACAAAGGGAGTTTGTATAATCAGTTAAATGGATTGAATTGCTAGTGCTAGCGGCAGCACCAGTGGGGATACAGGGTGGGGGGGAGAGGACTTGCCACATGGAAATGTGGACATTTGTCCCCCCATTGAGTCAGTCTGCCCCTATTTTTACCCCAGTCTCGCGGAGGCTGGCACTGCCTCCAGCCAGTGCACCAATATCACATCACTAGTTTCTTTGATTAGATGAAATAGTTTAGAAGAGCCTAGATCTGATTCTGAAAGATAATTATATTTCTGTTACAGAGGTATTTGTTATTTTTTTCTGGAAATTGAGTGTGCATCAAAAGACTTGCATTCTGGAGTTTTTGGTGGAACAGTGTAAGTATTGCTGGAAATTTACATAGATATTGTATAAAATATAGTAATAACTTCTGTGTTTATATTATCTTGATCTATGAAAGGTTCTAGTAGTCTGCCACATATAAACCCTTGATCTAGAAAGTTGATACATCATCACTAAATTAGATTTAGTTATCAACTGATTATGGTGGCCTTTTCAGTAGCATTATATATATGGCAAATAAAGATGAGTAATCAAATACACATGTGAATAACAGGTTATGTAAGTAGACTACATAACGAACATGCAATTGATCGCAAAAGTTATGTTTTAATTATCCATTCATTATCTACCAATATGTTAAAGATGGGTTCCCTCTTTTCAGTGACCTGTCAAGAAAGGTCAAAAAGTCTTTTTTTGTTTATTCAGAGTGGACATTTATGATTGTTTAAACTCTTTATTAATGGTATATACAATATGATATAATAATGATATGATTAAGAAAACATGATACTTCATTAAAAACACCAATTAATCATATAGTTTGCTTAAAATGAGGAAACACATCTTTAAAGATATATTGTTGGAAGGCAAGTCATGTGTTAAATAAATGAATTTGGATCAGAGGCATAAACCTTAAATCAGTCTCAGAGGTTCTATAGCACAGTCAGAGGGTTGGTTCTGTACATAATTTGCTTGGTTACGTCAAACAAATGATGGCTGTGGGTTCTGATCTCAATCAGCGTGTGAAAGTCCAATGAGCTTGAAAATTCATTGTCTCTTATAATTTCAGTTGACTCAGATTGTATACTGGTACAGTTAATTCTGGCCAAGAAACATCTGGTAGAAAGGATCCTTGCTTGTGAACCTAAGTTGTTATCCTTGTAAAATATAGTTCTTTTTTTCATTATGTAGTATTATCTGATGAGATGTTATATATTTCAGTCATGAAGCTATGACAGATCTTACTAAAATAATGTCTTCATTAGTTGATAGTAAGGGACGTATATTAATAAAAGATTTATATGAAAGTGTTCAACCAGTGACTGATGAGGAGAAACAATTATATGGCCCAATTGACTTTGATCCAGTAAGTTTTCTCATATTAACATATCATTATAGTCTCACATTATATTGTATATGTACTTTATACTATTTCCACTGTTAAAATAGTGCTCAATACATCAATTTTAGACCAATGTAGAAATATTGAAACAGAACCTAATAAATATGTTGTCACTCGCTGTGCAATCTTTGAATAACTGACTTATTTTCAGCATGCGTCCCTACTGGATTTGGACAAGTAGAACTTTTTGGGAACGTTTGTTTAGGTATATTAGTTAGCCAAAATTTGTGAAGATTGACAGGTTTATAGAGAGTACAGTGTTTATGAGAATGTTACCAAATTTATTGATATAATTTTTATACGCCTACATGAAATGGGGGCTGTATATTGCCATCACGCATGTCCCTCAGTCTGTCGGCCTGTCAACAATTGCTTGTAAACACTCTACAAGGCACAATTCTTGATGTATTTTGACAAAACTTGGTATGAGTGTTTGTTATCACCCAAGGATAAACCCTATCGAAAATCAGAAGAATCGAAAAATATTAAGTAGGAGTTATTGCATTTGTTCTTGAAAACCTGATCAAATTTTAGCTTGTAAACATTCTAGAAGGGGCAATTATTGACAGATTTTGACGTAACTTGGTGAAATTGTTTATTATCACCCGTGGATGAACCCAAAGTTTAGCTCTTAAACACTAAAAGGCGTGATTCTTGCCGGATTTTGACAAAACTTCGTTTTATTTTTCAGTACATTGAAGGTTGAATATTTGCGTTCTAGAGTTTTCAGGAGCTAAAAATTTAGCACGTTTTCAAGAACAAGGGCAATAACTCATATTCAATATTATTCAGTATCGCCCAAAGAGTTCAAAAGAAGTGTATGACTGAAGGTTGAATATTTCATACTGGTGATTGTTACTGTACTGTAATGTTGTTATGAAGATGATCCCTATTGATTTTCGTGATGATCGGATAAATTTTCACCGAAATATCGTGTCTGACTTGACGTTTTTCTCTATTAGCTATATTGTGCAACTCGTGCTCACTCTACAGGCTACAATTTTTTACAGATTCTTTTGATTTTTATTTTGTGTGTCAATGTCATTTTGAAGATGATCCCTATTGATTTTCGTGATGATCGGATAATTTTTCACCGAAATATCGTGTCTGACTTGACGTTTTACTCTATTAGCTATATTGTGCAACTCGTGCTCACTCTACAGGCTACAATTTTTTACAGATTCTTTTGATTTTTATTTTGTGTGTCAATGTCATTATGAAGATGATCCCTATTGATTTTCGTGATGATCGGATAATTTTTCACCGAAATATCGTGTCTGACTTGACGTTTTTCTCTATTAGCTATATTGTGCAACTCGTGCTCACTCTACAGGCTACAATTTTTTACAGATTCTTTTGATTTTTATTTTGTGTGTCAATGTCATTATGAAGATGATCCCTATTGATTTTCATGATGATCTATCGATTTTCATGATGATCGGTGTGTCAATGTCATTATGAAGATGGTTTATATTCACATTTCTTTCTCTTTTAGACTAATATTATATACACAGTGTAAAGTACAGGAACCAAATGTGACTGAGCAGCAAAGACTTGTACTTACAATCAAAGCTATCAGTGGGCATATGTTACCTTGCCTGGCAAGCTATATTTATCTGATCTTGATGAAACTTGGTATGTATGTATAAATTGATGAGATCACAGTCAAGTTCGAAAGTGGTAATAATCAGAGGAAATTATTCAGAGTAATTACATTTATTATAAAGCCACTAAAGACTTGTTATCATTTCTGACAGCTGATAGTAGGCAGATGTTATCTTGCTTAGCAAGCTATCTTAAAAAAGAGTTTTGATGTCACTATAATCCAATTTTGCTAAGCAGTTTTCTGCAGCTATGAGCATCCATGTTATGATTATGGTAACATGATGCCAAAACATTGCTATTAAAATAGAAAATATTTTTTTCGCATTTCCTTATTCTTGTGAATAACAGATGTGCCATTTTGGTGGGCTGATTTGAGTCTTGAATATATGTAAATAGTCTTCAGAAGTACTAGAAATGTATGAAAATCACATAGTTCCTTTAAAAATACTTCAAACTAGGAATTTTACTCACTATTTCTATATATGTCTTTTCTACATATGGCAGTGTCGTAAGAAAAGACCACTCTTCTTTTTGATTTTAAAGGTAGATAATCCTTGACACACATGCATTTGAAGGCTCAAATTTCAAGAGTACTCTGTTAATGAATGGCTTAGCTAGAAAATTTCCGTTTTTGAGACAGGTTAGATTGGTTGAAAATATGACGCATCTGTTCCTTTAAAATTCAGCAAAATTGTGCATTACTATTGTCACAATTAAATTGTTATCATTCATTTTCAGGAAGATTACAGAAAGGATATTGGTGCTAAGAAATTAATCCATGCCTCGAAGGAAGATGCATTGATGCATAGATGGAGATATCCTTCCTTGTCCTTACATGGTACAACTACTTTAATTACATGTCATATAGATATTAAGCTTGTTCTTATTTTTAGATCTCAAAAATTATAATATAGGTCAAATTTGAAAGGATTTGAAAGAAACTTGGTGAAAGTCTCACACATGAAAAATATTCACTATCAATTTCAAATATGCTAACTAAGCATAACATACTTTCAGGCATAGAAGGTGCTTTTGATGGTTCAGGAGCTAAAACTGTGATACCAAGGAAAGTTATTGGTAAATTTTCTATCCGTCTTGTGCCACACCAAGAACCAGAGAAGATCAAAGAACTTGTTCAGAAACATGTTGATACTATACATTCATTGGGTGGTAGTCCCAATACAATCAAGTAAGTTAGTTTCTCTCTATGTATATTTTTTACTCAGTGTAAAAAGTCCTTATTATCTATATATAATTGAATTTTTTGACAAATGAAGAAAGCAATACAGATGATTGCAGTTGATTAAATTTGATATAGATTTTCAATGCCATTCCTGTGAAATCATTTACTATCTAAATGTTGTGGATTTATTCTGAGATTCCATAAGCTTAAAAATTGTTAATTCCAAAAACATAGGGAATAAATAGAAAAGTGCAGATTATTTGCTATTGGTTGTCTTTCAAAGGTACACTTACTCTTAGGATGACCAAAATATTTAGATTTTTAAACTTGGATAAAATGAGTCTTTGTTCATCAGTGGATTTACCTGGTGTCAAAACTAAAAAGAAGCCCTCTTTAATCCAATAAATCCATAAAACTAAGTATATAATTCATAAAACTAAGTATATAATTCATAAAACGAAGTATATAATTCATAAAACGAAGTATATAATTCATAAAACTAAGTATATAATTCATAAAACGAAGTATATAATTCATAAAACTAAGTATATAATTCATAAAACGAAGTATATAATTCATAAAACTAAGTATATAATTCATAAAACTAAGTATATAATTCATAAAACGAAGTATATAATTCATAAAACGAAGTATATAATTCATAAAACTAAGTATATAATTCATAAAACTAAGTATATAATTCATAAAACTAAGTATATAATTCATAAAACGAAGTATATAATTCATAAAACGAAGTATATAATTCATAAAACTAAGTATATAATTCATAAAACTAAGTATATAATTCATAAAACGAAGTATATAATTCATAAAACTAAGTATATAATTGATGCAACAAAGTAATTAATTTTGTTTGTATGTATATAAGTTGGGTGAAATACAAGAAAGGCTTTATTGTTGTTATCGTTATTATTGTTGTTGTTGTTGTTATTATTATTATTATTATTATTATTATTATTATTATTATTATTATTATTATTATTATTATTATTATTATTATTATTATTATTATTATTATTATTATTATTATTATTATTATTATTATTATTATTTCGTCACGATGTTTAAGGACCACTACTATTTGATTAAGCTGGATGCAAATATGTGTAGGGCTCACTTACAAAAAAAAGTTCCATGTGAACCTCATTTCTTTACTATCCTGGATCAAACCAGAAAGGCAAAGGATAACATATTTCTGATGTCTGATTTCAGATTAACAATGGGGCATGGTGGTCGACCTTGGGTCAGTGATTTTAATGATCCTAATTATTTGGCGGGAAGAAATGCCATGAAAACAGGTTTGTTGTTTTCCATAGTTATCAATGTTCTCAACTCATTGTTCTCTCACCTTGTGGGAGCTGCGGTGGCTCAGTGAGTTAGATTCTTGCTCGCTAACCCGAAAATCTAGGGTTCAATCCCCAACATAGGTTGAGATAATTTCTTTGCATTAGTCAGTGATGCATGTAAGAGAAGCTGACATGGAAAAAGCCATCCAGTCGTTTGGCTGGAACAATAAACCGAGGCCCCGTGTGCTACAGACTGTGGACATTAAAGATCCCTCGACAGTTGGAAATAAAAAAAAGAGCAGGCTAATGCCACTGGCCTGGCAAAATGTGTGACGTTGTTCAAATTTTTAGCTGCATGTTTCATCTTTCCATCAAATGTTGGCAATATTTATATTAGTTACCAATGTTTAACAAATCAGCTGCCGTATAGACGTCATGTGACTGCCTTCCTATCTTTCAAAATGGTGACCAACACAGAAAAAGTTTGGTGAAATGAAGTTACATCCATGCGCAAGAAATTTCTAAAGCTGGCCTGGTCTGTTGGCTGTAACTCACTCAATAAGTTCTGATAAGCCCCATGATGACCTCTTCTTTGGATCCAGTACCTGACCCATTTGCGAACCTTTCACGCTCTCCTCTTTAGCTTTTGGCGACGAAGAATTGTTAAAATGATAATTGATGCAGCAGCACACCTCAACAGACTGCTTTGAGCATCCATGTTGAATTATTTTCCCACCAAAAATAATATTTACCCTTCATTATTGGTCATACATGGTCAAACATCATCATACAAGTGTTTGATAGTGTAGACAGAAATCCACGACAAGCTTGAACATGGTTATACAAATGTCTGATGATGTTTTGAACAAATGTATGATCGTGTAAACGGGCCTTAAAATTAAAAATATAGGTAAAACAATATACATATATCTTTAAAAAAAACTTTGTCTTGAATATTATAAAAAAAATATGTTTCAAATATTAAGTTATACTTATTAAAATGGTGTACATGATCTTATCTGGACAAAAATTAAGCATATCAGCCTTATCATGTAATTAAACAATTTAGTAGAAATTTAGTAGAAGGGGGGTAATAATAAGGATTTATAGGGGAAGGGGGTAATATTCAAAGGGGGAAGTTGGGTAATGATAAGGAGTTATAGGGGGAAGGGGGGTAATAATAAGGATTTATAAGGGGAAGGGGGGTAATGATAAGATTTATAGGGGGAAGGGGGTTAATAATAATGATTTATAGGAGGAGGGTAATAATAAAGATTTATAGGGGAAAGGGGTGTAATAATAAGGATTTATAGGGGGAAGGGGGTAATAATAAGGATTTATAGGGAGAAGTGGGGTAATGATAAGGATTTATAGGGGGAAGGGGGGTAATAATAAGGATTTATAGGGGAAGTGGGGTTTATGATAAGGATTTATAGGGGGAAGGAGGGTCATAATAAGGATTGATAGGGGGAAGGGGGGTAATAATAAGGATTTATAGGGGGAAGTGGGGTAATGATAAGGATTTATAGGGGGAAGGGTGTAATAATAAAGATTTATAAGGGGAAGTGGGGTAATGATAAGGATTTATAGGGGGAAGGAAGGTAATAATAAGGATTTATGGGGGTAATGATAAGGATTTATAGGGGGAAAGGGGTAATAATAAGGATTTATAGGGGGAAGTGGGGTAATGATAAGGATTTATAGGGGAAAGGGGGTAATAATAAAGATTTATAGGGGAAAGTGGGGTAATGATAAGGATTTATAAGGGGAAGGAAGGTAATAATAAGGATTTATTGGGGAAATGGGGTAATAATAAGGATTTATAGGGGGAGGGGGGTAATAATAAGGATTTATAGGTGCAAGGAGGGTAAAAATAAGGATTTATAGATGGAAGAGAGGTAATAATAAGAATTTATAGGGGGGAGGGGGTAATGCTATTAATCAAGTATCCTGAAAGGGGTAATAGAATGAAAAAGGTTGAAAACGAAATGTAGCTGAAATGATTCTAGTGTAACTATTAATATTTTAGTATTTGGTGTTGAACCAGATTTAACAAGAGAAGGAGGCAGTATTCCAGTGACCTTGACCTTCCAAGAAGCCACAGGGAAAAATGTGATGTTACTTCCTGTTGGAGCTTGTGATGATGGAGCACATTCTCAGAATGAAAAAATTGATAAAATTAATTATATCAATGGAGTAAGTAAATTGAATTTTATTTCCTTGCCTATCATAGAACTTAGAAAAACATTTAGAAAACATTTGATAGAATGGATATTTGGAAAGCAAGAATTTTCAAGGATAATTGAAACATTTTCTTACAGAAAACTTCCACAATCATAGTTCAAAATTATTAAAGGCACTAAATTGCAGTTTGCTGAAGCCAAACTTAACTTACAGAATTCTCTTATTCAATGGGATAAATAATTTTGCAACATGGTTCAATTTAAAGGGACGGGTTTGCCTTTTTAGGACCAATCATACCTTAGTCTCAGAAACGGGAATTATCGCTTCACAGTTTGATATTTAAAATAAACCCCTGTTGGATACG